ACGGTAAGAAAAAATATTTCTAGAATTTTTACTTCAAAAGTAGAATTTGCAAGATAAATCAGTTAATGACAACGTATTAATCTTCCTTTTTTTCGTTAGTAAAAACAAAACAAATAAATTGCATTTGAATCCCATATTATATCTTTGTAACATATTTTAATAACAAAATAATACATATTTCTTAGTATTAACAATATAACAAAAAAGCAATATTATAATAACCACATTTTTATCAATTAGGTACTTTTGGTAGATTATGTTATAAAACAATATTAAAATAACAAATTAGTCTCAAAGTATAAAATAACATTTCAGAATCTATATTTTAACATTATTTATCATTAAAAATAATTAAAGTATTTAACAATATAATATATCACTTTTGAGAACTATTTACATATTTCTCAATATTCTCAATATAAATTTAAAAAAAATAACATAAAAACCATATAATGAGTTTCAGATATATCCACGTCAATAGTTATAGGTCGACGTTTTGGATTCTGCAAAGAAAATATATCCGAAACTCATCCAAATGAATAACAAATAGTCACAACAAGTTTACATTAGCCACAGGAACAGTAAAAAGCTGTGTACGCGGGTGACGTGACAGAATAAAGTTGCATACAGGTACTTCGTATCGCGTCATTACAATTATCTCATATTTTTGTTAATTATTTGAAAGGTCGGATAAAGTCGGACACACCAATCACAGAAACATCATCAAATTTACTAGTTTCATAGCCAGTTCCAATTTATTTCAGTCAGACAATAGTTGATAATTTTTATTTGACTCAATTTGAACAATGTTGATTACAATTAATCTGTATAGTTTTATTTTATTTTTTTTTGTATTTCGATAGGTAATTTAGGTTATTTTAAAACCAGTACAATAATTATTAGTAGTACATAACATGTAAAATAAAATTATTATAAATCATTTAGAATTTTATTACAGAAATTTAAATTAAAAATAATATTTTTAAATACTCAAAAAAAATGTCCATTACATCAGATTAATGAATATCATTATTTACATTATTATTCGTTTGTTTGGTAAATTTTCATGTGAAAATATTGGGGCAAGTAAAATCTGCTTTGTCAACTAATTGAGAACACATTTCAATAATAATTTACATTTCAATAAAATGCCCGAGATTGTCTATTAGTCGCCCCATTGCCACGGCAGTACCACCGCATCAGCGGTATACACGGCCGCCCGGTAAACACCTCTCCTCCTCCCCACACCTAGTCATACAACCGGCCGGCGACTCATTACAAACAATAGCCAAGTAACCACCGACGGCCGATCAAGCCACCCTACCGCACCTCACCACGCTACACAGGCGACCGGCCGAGCCGCCCCTCTACTCCACCTCACCTCACCTCACCACATAGGCGACCGCCGGCGACCAGCCGAGCCGCCCCTCCACTTCACCTCACCTTACCACACGGGCGACCGGTGACCGCCGGGTCCGTGAAGCTTATCACGCGAGTTCGCCGGCAAACGTAAACAAACGCGTAACCAATCTACTAAAGGGTGTCTCAAAAAGAACGCCGGATTTAAATCTGCTAAAAATTAAATTTGTTTCTCTTAAAAAAACATAACAAATATATCATTCTCTTCAGGAGAAGTTTAGGTTTAACAGCGAAAAACAATATCGGGCATATGACCCCCCCCTGTTAGCCCTACAGGCGATTTTTCTTTCCATAAAATTTACCATCACTCGATCACACATTGCCCCATCAAGTTCGTTGAGGACACGACGAATTTCTTGCTTAAGTTCCAAGACATTTCGGACTTAGTTCTGGTAAACTCGTGACACCCTATATTATAGTAGTACACCGGCCGGTACAACAATTCTATTAAATTTTTTTTTGTTTATTCAATTATTGTTTAGGACGCATATAAAAACCCGGAAAATTATTACACGGAAAGTAATTTTACGGACTATATTGTCACTGACAGTAGAAATACGGGAAAAACTAAACCATAAAATCACGGAAAATATTTTCGGTGTCACGCCAGTCACCAGTGCATGTGTTCTCTTTTTATATTTATTTCAATACTTTTTTGTTTTAGACTAGTTGGATAACGTTTGGTTGTGTCATTTTGCACAAGACCACTTATGTTGTTTTATTATATTGGTGCTTGACCGCCAACCGTCTGGTGACAAGACCTATTGAAAGGGTCAGGGGGGGGGCTAACGGTTGCTATTGTCATTTTTGACTACTTTTTCACAACTAAGTACAAACAGATACAAAATATAAACATTGTATTAGAAGTTTTATAATGAAAAGACAAATTCAATGGTAAAAGAGATTTCTGAAGGAATATATACACATAGTATACATATATATATGTATCAATAATAAAGAAAACTTATCGCAGATATTATAAAAATAGTTGAAAACCCGCGTTAAAATGAAATGTTTTTAATTTTGTTTATATTGAAATGGTAAAGACATGCTAAGAAAATAAAACCAATTCATTGCCTATTCTACTGACAACCAGTGCAGTTTTATTAGTGTTTTCATCAAATTCAATTCGATTTGTTTTAGCAAGTGGAGAAAGTTGTATTCGTAACTTATATTACAATTACTATAGTAAATTAAAACAAAACAATTTTACAGTAGGTATTATTTTAAACGATAATTGTTGAAGATAACTTTTAGAAGTCAAATTTTTAGCTATATATTTAATTCGCCCATTAAGTATAGAACAATAATGTACCTAGTGAAATCAAAGACTGGTTTGTAATAGAATAAATAATTTTTGTGTTATAGACGAAGTATGTGGATGGAAATAATAGTATTACAGCCCTTCTCTCACCTTGTCGAGAACACTAAACTAAATTTTAGGTTTCATTTGACAATTGTAGCTAAAATAAATAGAAAATATAATTTAAAGTACATTTAAGTTCATTGGATACCTACATATTTTCCCTGTTGGGTATATTTTTTTTTATTAAGATAGATATATTTCAAATACATCTTTGTGTGATGTTTAAATCAAATATCATATTTTTCGTTATTTTAATTTTTGCTTAGCTGACAGTTACCAATAATAACAATATAAAATATGTTTTTTTTATAATGGAGAATTATAAATTAATATTATCAGATAAAACGAGAAAAGGAAAAATGTATGGACAATAATTGTGGGTGGAAAACATATATAAATACACGCCTCACTTCTCCATTGACCGAACGGTACGGGCTCTTTACTAACGAGACAAGGGCAGGCAATATTTAGTAGAAATTGATCTAGTAGCCATATAAAAAAAAAATTAAACACGCCAACTAATTTTAAGGCGTACAAATATTATTTTTATCTAGTTATATAGCTTTTTAAGTTATTTTTCTCAATTTTTACGGAAGTTAAAAATAAAAAAATAATTCATAATGTAATTTTATAGTAGCGTATTAATAAGACGGACTTCAATTTTCCTATTAATGTGAAGTTTACTGTTTTCTCTATGGGCGTTAAAAGGCCAATTTTTAAATGAGAGAAAATTAATTGGATTCATAGTTAAAAAAAAAATTATAAAATATTTAATTATAAACATTTCTACAGTGGCGTCTTTGGTACTTTGCCTGGGTGGATGCAATATTTTTTGGTATATATAACATACTCCAATTATAATAAAAGTTGTCAGTAAGTGTAAAATATAAATTGACAGTATATTTATAGTATATAGTAATAATTGCGTTATCAGTTGATTATCAACTTCGATCATATAATATTATACATATTATACATATTGTATCAATGAAAACATAAAACAAAATAATAAGTAAAATGTCTGGGGGGGGGGGGTATCGCCCCTATGGCCCCTCTAAAAGTCGCCACTGTACTTCTAATACAATTATAAAAACCAAAATTAAAAATCGGCTTTTTAGCCACTATAGATTAGATAGTAAACAAACAACAATTTCGAAATTGGTTCGGTTAATGCATCACGTTTTAGTCATTTTCGCATACAATTTGACGCTTTCCGTTTCCCTTAAACTACATTTTTTTAAAAGATTTATTTTTAATTTTTTTACTAAGTATTATCATTTTAATAAATACATTTTTTTAATAACAATATCATTGATATTCAATTTTTTTTTAAATTTATGACCTTGTTGTTTTTTATTTGAATGTTTGAAAGAAAAACTTCAAACCTTATAAAAACTCCTTTTGACCTTTAAATTTACACTTTGGAATTTTGTACCAAAAAACCTTCGTCATTAAAAATATCTGTTAGGAGCTGTTATGAATTTATTGATTTAGACATGACTAAAACAAATAGTTCAGTCGAAGGATGGTATAATTAATTTACTTCTATAATAAATTCATAATATTTAATTTAGTAATATTATAATTTATAAGTCATAATATTGATTCCATAGTTGATTTCGCTGGCATAAACCCAAACTGATTCTTTGATACTGTACTTGTGCTTGTCTTTTTTTTCGATATAATTCCTTTCAATTCTAATATCCTATACGGTATACATGTACATATATTAAAACGAAGCATGTATGTATACCAGGTACGTAATGTTTTAATACTTAAAATGTTTAAAAAGAATAATATCATGTTATATTTATTTTGGTAAAAGATTACAATTTAACTACAAAAAACTGCTGCTGAGTGAAATATATAATTTACTCACGATTTTTTTCATTAATTACTTTTGGCTATATTAAGTATACAGGTATACTTTTTGTATTATTTAAAAAAATTATTATCATTTTTATATATTTTTCTAATAATAGGAGTTTTTAAAAATGATTTAGAAAAAAAAAATATTGATCCACTTAGCTGTTTACTTAAAAATAATGAATATAGTATTATTTGTATTCGTCTTGACCTGGGCAATATAAATTGCCACGGAGCGCGCTAGTACTTGCACGGCGGTGGGCAGAGAGAGTGGTTCAGCTGAATCTTACCCTGGCCGACGGCTTTGATGCTGGTGCAACCACCCTTGGCCGACCAGTCGTGTCGTTGCAGTAGTGCATTGCTGTTGTAGTTTTTCAACAGATTCTTGCCACACTCAAATACGATCAATAGCAAAAAATAAGGTACGTCTATAATAACTTTTTCTTAATTATTTGAATATTTTATTTATTAAATAGTACGATACTTGTTAATATTTTGTTATAATACGATTTTTTTAATTTTTTGTGAAATAAACAGTATTTAATTTGTTTTTATTTGTCATTAAATTTTGTTCAACTCTGGCAATAACTCTTATTGTTTTTTTTTATTAATTACTTTTGTGATTACACATTACAGCACACTATATGATACAAAAAAAAAAAAATACAATATATTTAATATTTACATATATTTAAATAAAGAAGCCAGCGCTTAAAATAACTCATATCATTACACAGTTTGTATTTTATTATTTTTAATGAATTTTTTTTTTTTAATTTCAGACACAAAATTTCCAAAAATAAAACTTTTATTATTATCAATTTTGAGATATTACGGAATACGTGAATTTTAGTTTAGTTTTTAGTTGATAAAAACGGTGTTTCTTACAACTTTGTGGGTGATTTAAAAAATACCTTAAGAAAGTCATATATACCTTACGGTATGATGATATAATTCGATTTTTTTAATGAAACCAAACCCTAATAATCTTCTATCGAATTCGGAATTACAACTTTTTTATTATTATTATAATATTAAATGCAATATATATATATATATATATATAATATTATAATATTAATTATACATTTTATTTTTCCAATTAAATATTATTTAAGTTTACTAATTATTAATAATTATGCGAGTGTAAGTTCAGGTTAACACTAGATATAGTCTAAATTTTACAAAGTAACTGCAAAATGATAAAATCCTATTTGTTTATATATTTTTAGAGTTATTTTCACTAGAAACTTGTTTCTAAATATACAGGAGTTATGTCCAAAAGTTTTGAGACACTCAGACTAAGTTGAATTACTAAATTATTAATTCAAATTTAAGTTCTTAACTTTTTTGCCTGAATATTAGAAAATGGTTTTTCGTTGTGAAATTAGGCTTAAGTACTTCGTCTTGAGATGCCATTGTCTTTTTGCTACAAAAAAAAAAACTACCCAGGTTATAAATACAATGTAAATTATTTATGCAGCTATACATAATAATATTAGTATTAAACATTACAACGTAGATTCGGACAGGAGGGAGTTATAGTTTCGACGGACGTTCAATAACGAGTTTTTGAATGTTGGGCTTTGGACCAGACGGTTAGGTTAAAATGATCACGGTATACAGGGAAATGTATTGGTTTATTGGTGTTCGGTATTGGCGAATAACCGTCCGTTATAACGCAGCGGCCTCCTGCCGGTTTCCAGGTCAATGGGGCAATACGGCAATGGGTCAAACCAGGCCAGCCCTCTCGCCACTCCACCTGACTCGCGTCAGCTACACCCTCGCCTCGCAACGGCGCGGCATCAGTTAGTGTTGCGGCGGATGCTTGTGTGGTGTGTGTGTGGGAGGGGGTGAAGGTACGGTTTACCGGCAGCCGCGCAGACTACAGCGCTTATTATCGTTGTGTTCCAGCGTCGACCGTTTGTCGAGGTGGGTGGCGTGGGCAGTGGCTGCTGCTGCGTTACGTCTGGTGGTGTAGTGCGGGGTGGTAGTTTATCCTATTGCGCGTTGGCCAGAGTTAAAATGTATATTCCGTGTTTGCCTCATTCGATACTTCCACTAATAGATGCGGTGCTAAATAGGACACGGGATAATTGCTATTGCTGCCTTTCACTAGCTAACGGGAGTGCTTATAATTCGTTAAAGACTCTCGAGGCTTAACTTTGCCAGGTAATCCAGCGGTGTTCTTCCAGGTTGTTGTCACACTGTTTAGATCTTTGTTGGTGAACTAATTTTTGACGCGGATCCGTCTGGCGAATCGCGTGCCCAAAAAAAAAAAAAAAAGGAAACGGTTGGGAAATGCGCGCAGTTAAAAATAACTCCACTTCCCCTCTCATCCTAACTTTTAAACTCTTATAACTTCAAAAATAGTTATCCGAAACTGGTTATCGACCAGTCAAAATTTGTAATACATTATTCTTTATTAAATGTAATAAAATATATATACGTTACCTTTTAAGTTTCAAAAGTTGCTATCAAAAAATCTAAGTTGGGAGGGGGGGGGAAATAAAAAAATTGTGATCTCATATTGTATAAAAACAATATGAAAAAAAAAATTCAATTACTAATTAAACCCAGTGAGATATTGACTGGTTAAAATAACATGATAAAATAATCACCCAGTAAAGTAGTATTATTATATTATTTTACTATATCACTATACTAGTGGCGCACTTTCCAGGGGGTTCGGGTTAACCCCCCCCCCCCCAAAAAAAAAAATTGTGAATAAGTAATATATTATAGGTATTTATTGTATAATTGTTACAATGTTACTCTCTGAAGTAATTTAAAACTTGAAGTAAATAAATACAATAAATAATAATTTAATAATTATACTTTAATTATTAAGTGTTTAGTTTTTTGTACAGTTTTGACTTTTGTTAACTATTAAATGTTCAAACATATACCTATCATCAATCATGATACTAAAAATACGAATTTACAGTAATTTTATATACCTAGCTATTTTACTGTAAACCTATTAAAGAAGATGTACCTACACATAATAACTGATAACACAATAATAACTATTGTGATTATTAATTTTTATTAATTAATAAATTAACAGAGATAATACACTCCCGTGTAGTTTGGAGTGTAAGGCAAAGATAAAGAAGAAGAATATATTATCAGAAATGGACAAAATAGTTACCAAAATGCATTTCAAATGTAAAATTGCATTTAAAATCAGGGAGTAGAAACGTGTAAAGAAACGTTTTTTAATAATAATAATTATATAATTGTTTAATAATAATAAATTATTATTAATCAGTTACATTTTTGTAAATTAACTCAATCCTTTGTGCTTTCTTTTCGGCAAACATATTAATAAGCTCTTCATTAAAATTATAAATACTAGGTATTCATATTTTTTTTCTTTTGACAACATAGATAATTCGGATAGGCGATCTTCTGACATAGTACTACACAAAAAAGATAATCAGACTTTATCAAAGTTTGTACCCCGGTTATATTATGGCCACTTATAACATTGGCACCGTCATAACTTTGTATAATTCGTTTTTGTTTGTCGGTTAAAACATCTTGAAGCGCAGATTTAATACATTCGGACAAACACGTGGCATCATGACCAGTTGTATTAAAGAAACCCCAAAACCGTTCTACAGTTTTTAAAATTTTTTTATTTAAGATCAATATGTTTAGTATAATAAGTAAATGAGTTGATAATAAGTTGATAAAAAGTACATAGCTTGAATGACTTGATGTGGCCACACCTTTAGTGGGTTAATAGATCTCTATTCCACTTTCGCCTGCGGGGTGCGTTCGATGGCAAAGTATTAGTAGACATTTGTGAAACTAGTGGGTTGTTGTGTGTTAATAGTTTTGAATGAAAACGTTTATAATGTGTTATAGCTAGTTCTTTGACTGTGTTTACTCGTAGATCTTTAAGTAGGTTTTGATTTGTTATGTACCACGGTGCTTTGGTGATCAGCCTCAGAGCAATCGAATGAAAAGCTTGGATTGGTCTTATATCAGATGGTTTGGCCGGACCCCAGATTTGGATGTCATATGACCTAACCGGCCGTATGATAGTTTTGTACAGCACAATTATAGTGTTTAGTGGGAGATTGTAAGTAAGAATAGGACGAAGGAGGTGTAGGTAACCTATTGTTTGCACATTTTCTTTTTAATTAGGAATCCACGTAAGACGTTTGTCTTATAAGATTCCCAGATACTTAATTTCTGTTTGGGGGATGTCGGCTGTGAATACTTTGTAGAAATCTAGAGATAAATCGCCTCCTTGAGGAACTCCTGCATTTATTATATGGTATTCTGAAAAATCATTACCTTGGCGTACTACAGAGTATCTGTTTTCTTAATACGATTTTATGATTAGATAATATGGGACTGGCATATAGTGTTTCAATTAAAATAACAAGCCTTCGTGCCAAACTCTATCGATGGCCTGCACAGTAATGCTTGTTTTCTAGTGATGCTGCAATTCCGTCAGTTAAGCGGTGAATTTGATGTATTGTCGAATGTCTACTTCTATTTACCCCAATAAGTATTATTATCGATAATAATTGACTCCAACTTATTTTATTTGGTCGACTAAATATAATACATAAAAAACAAAACAGCTTATTAGTTACTTCACAGCCAATCAACAGATCCAATCGTTTTTTAGATACGTTTCCATATCAAAACTTATTTCAGCTATTTTATAATTACACTTTGATTCTTTTATAATAAGTGATTTTGGTTCTGGCTTACCTTCATTTTTAATTGCGATTTTTTGTTCAAACGATAACGAAGAAAAATCTATCTTGGTTAAAAAATTAACCGAAGTCTATTGTGACATTTTTAATTTTAATTTTAATATTTCAAAACATACAAATAAACAAAATAGTAAACACACTAATATAACGTCTAATTTCTATGCACTGGGTTCTAAGTTTTAACATCAAAAGACCATCGTTAATCTGCAGAAAAAAACAGTGAATACAAGTTACGATACAAGATAACAACTTATAATAATATTACCATTGAGTATATATTGTACTCAATGATATTACGTTTATACAATAAATATTATTATTGTATACATCAGTAATATTGTCATCATATTTTTGTTGATAAAAACGGTATTGGCTGCAATGGTCCGTGGAAGCACAAACAGCTGTTGTAAAACGACTACCACCCATACTCTACCATCAAGGCAAAAGCACTGCTGCAACCGTTTGTACTTTATAAAAAAAAAAAAGTCTTAAGTACAGCAATGTCTGTGAACCAAAAGCCATGCCTAACACAACATATGTTTGGGAGTAGTAGGAATGAAACTGCATATGCACATTCGCGAACCGATCAATTTTTTTTCTTGCCTTGCCCGCTGGCCGTCGCCATTCGTGTTGTCCGTGTACTGTAAATGGTGACAGTTTTAGGTTAGGTAATATTATTTGAAGATATTTATATTTATCGACAAAAATACAAATTATTTTAAGAATTAGCTCGCTTTTATAGTATAGTTTTAAGGAAAGTACCGTAGATATTAGACAATAGACCGTACCACTAAATAATTAATATTCTTCAAATAATAGGTAAAATAATAAATACACGGATAAATGTTTGAGGATAAAATTGACGAGACGAAATATTGTCCAGAAATTTAAATATCTAAGTGCACAAAACTAAATGATTTTTTTAGCTTAATATATATACCAAGTAGTAAAGTAACCTTTTTAAAATATACAATATGCTCATTCATAAATTCTGTTACAGTAACTCTTCGAAGAAATATTTAGCTAAAAAATCTTCACATAAAATCGTTGTTCTATTATACCAGAAAGAAAATTATGTGTTCAAGTCAATTATGTGGATAATGAGGAGGGTTACTTTAAAAACTTCAAGTAACAACCAATGTATTAATTTTATCTATGAAAAGTTCTATGATGTAACGTAAAAATAGAATGACTAAAACTGTTTTTGGATAAATATATATTTTGAGTTAGTAGTATGCAACACATATATATATAAATCATAAGGGGTTGTCAACTTTTAGAAGGTACCCTGAATACCACAGAATAAATAAATTATCATATAATAATTTCATGTATTCTGTGTTAATACTTTGAACTTGACGTCATTCACGGTTTTTGTTCGTTAAATACAATAAGTACCTAATTTCGAAATATTTAGCTAAAAAAAAGTAATTCATCGAAAATTTTAATGTAACACGATTCGTTAATGATCCTGTATCAATAATTTAAAAAATATTTTATTATCTTTTATACGACCATTTATTTTTATGTTAAAAGAAATATTTATATAATATTCTAAAACATTAATCAAAGCTGTAATATTATGTAAAAATGGCTGTAAAATATAGCTTAAAACATATCGGTATAAAAACATACTTTTATATTGTAAAAATGTTTTTCATTAACATTGTACGAATAAAATATTTTTTACAAATATTCTATTTACAATACATTATATCTGCAACATTCTAACGTTTTACATACATTATTGAAAACATTTTTTCACTACTTCGGTTAATTAATAATTACTACGGTTGACGTTTACATGGGGATAAAATAATTTACAGGTTGAGTTACTTTCAGCTCTAAAAGTTAAATACGGAATACGGCAAATCGGGATAACCATGGCAACAAATACGATAGACGAAATGAATGCAATTAGTAAGTACACAAGTAGTTTGACTCGATTCTGTTTTTTAACTACTATTCATATAAATGTATTTTTTAACTATTAAAATTATTTTAGACTCTTGGCTATTTTTTTTGCTATAACGTTTTTTTTACCGAACCCGTGGTGCAGGCGAGTGGCGGAGTGAGATAAGGGTACCCCCCTTATCTACCGTGTATCAACGCACGGTCGCCGGTTCAAAACTCGGCTACTAGGCACTAGCGGTTTGTTCCTCCGGGCGGGCAACTGTCTGGGGGGCAAAATGACCACCTGCACCTCTCTCTGGGGTCAACTTGTTTGGTAGTGTTAGGTCGGCAGCCAGCTATAAGCCCAAAAACGTCAAATCTTAACCGTCTAAGCCCCGATCGGGGGAATAACGGACGTTAAACGTAAGAGGGGACGTTGTTTTTACCGAACCCAATTTTAAATACTTATTGAATGATAAACACCTATTAATTTAATTTTTCTTGTGTTATGGTGAATATTTGCTAAAAAATTACTTTTGTAAAAATAACTATTTGCCACACCTGTTTCACTAATTCCTATTTTATTATTATTTTTTTATTGAAAGCTTGTAATTTTCTCCATAATATGTAATGACTAATTTAATTTTAACGTGTTATTAGTAAAGTAGTTTTATATATGCTATATAAATTACAAGAAAGAAAAAATGTTTATAGCTCAATTGTAAAAATAATTATAACAATATAGGTTTTCGAACCCCTTGAGAGGAAATACAAATATTTTGTTGGGAAATAACAACGACAAACACAGTTTATGTTAACAAAGGTCGGTTAGGTAGCCTACAAAACGACAAAGGTTATGCCGGCAGCTGTACACCCTCGCCCCTGGTCGCCTCGGCGAGAGCGTACTGCCGGCATGAGAATGACGTTTCAATGGTTGCAATCTAAAATCATTGTAAAGGAAAAGAAAGCAATGTATAAAATGTTATTTTTGAAAAAGCAATTGAAATATTTTACCCGAGTGCTAGACGTTTCTATGTAATTTTTGTAAGCCCTTTAGAAATTGTGTTTTTTATGTCATATTTGTATTTTATTTCGGATTATGATTTTCAACAATTTGTCTGAGTCCGGTACTAACGTCAAAAAAAAAAAAAGGCAGCACAGTAGGTATAAATACTGGAGACGGAGCATATTGGTCACGGATTTTTTGAATTATTAGCTATTATAAGTGAACGTAATGAAATCACAATAAAAAAAACCTTCAATACAAATGTGTAGACAGCAAAACATTGTAAATCGATAAAACCATTGCGGGTTAGGAGAAGACACAAAAAAAAAAATTGAAGCTACAATACATAATTATTAAACATTTTTTCACTACTTCGGAAACAGGAACTTTATTTTACATAAATGAATGCGCATACAAGTAAAAAACCTCGAAGTAATGGTAGGTCAACATTTTATGAGCGAAACTTATCTTTGAAATATCGATTCAACCTGGGGAGTAGATTTTTACGGATATTATGTGTTTTTTAATTCAACTCACGTGAGTGCACTTGCTTGACTGGCTGCTATAATTTTATTGTAACCATAGTGTATTCTATCGATAATAACGACAAAAGCTGATTGCGCGTAGGGTAATTTTATTATGTCTACGTTAACATCAAACTGAACGTTATATTATAGTACCCTTTGTCATTGAAATTGTGTTCTGTAATGTTTCACTCCAACTATTCAATATTATAATTAAGGTAACAAAGCTCTAAAAGCTTTAGGGTCAATAATACACTATTGATTGACTATACAATATGTAGTCATGTAAAGTCGTAAGTACAAAAGGAAAGTTATCGGGTAGTATAATCAGATATTCTGTTGTTGTGTAATGCTTTTAGACATAAACTTTGTAGATGCTAGGGTTGGGAATAAACTTCGAATAATATTTAATAACTTAAGTTTCATCCTAGCGGTGGCAATGTGACAACATTTTATTTATTATAAATAAACAGACTTTAGCCTAAAAACAAGAATAATGTTACAGTATAGACTATAGAATAAATATGGCATGTAATATACAAAATCAATAATATTAAGACAGCTAAACTTATATTAAAAATCAATATCATTGGCAAAAAGTATAAGACGGGAAAACGGGGAACTTGAAACGATGAAATAGAGAGGAAGTAACTTTTAAGGTAATACCTGAAGCGCACGTTAAAATATTTACTTAATATTATAAAACAATTTAGATAGTTATGAAACATTTATTTGTTAAAACATTTTTAATATTAACACTTGAATTATTTTCAACATTTATTACTTCAAAATTGTCTTATAAGTTATAACATTAAAAAGATCCTCGTTAGTTTTTTTCCTGAAGGAAAACATTGGATCATGAATATGACTTTATCGTAGCCTATCTATTCAGGAGAGAATTTTAATAACAAATTAACAAACGGTACACAATTTTGAAATAATAAATGTTGAAAATAATTCAAGTTTTAAATTTAAAACAAATGTTTCGTAATTATTTAAACTGTTTTATAATATTATGTAAATATTTTAACGTGCAGCACTTTAGTATTACTTTATCTCTATTTCATCCAATCAAGTTACCCAATTTCCCGTATTATACGTTTTGCCAATGATATTGATTTTTAATACAAGTTTAGCTGTCTAGTACCCAGTTACTTTAATCATATATTCATGTACATGGTAATTTCTCTCCCCTCCCCACTCTTCTCCTTTTATTTCCCTCCTCTCTCCTTCTAACCTAACCTAACCCTACTCTCTCTCCTCGTCTAAAACTATTTTAGTTATTTAAAAATATGATACTAAATATGTATGCAATAATTAAGCTATAGTTTGGTTTAGATAATTTAAGTAAACTTTTATTGATGAACAATTTTATAAAAACCCTTAATTTTAGCGATAAATATTTTTCAGAATCCGGATTTACGGGCTTAAGGGGAACGGAAAGCGCTATTTATTAAGGGGCAAAAGATAAGCAATATTTGACGAAAATTTATTTAATAGCCATTTTACCAATACCTACTAATTTCAGGGTGAACATATATTACAATTTTATAAGTATAATACCTTTAAAATTATTTTTCTCCGAGTTATGACGAAAGTTCGATAAAAAATGACTTTCGTAGAAGACGTTTTCTGGCGTATCTATAGGACGGATTTCAAATTTTTTTTCTATGTGTAGCTTACTATTTTTTTTATGAGGGCCAAAAGGCCGATTTTTGATTTAGCGATTAAAAATATATTTAGATGTATTAGAAAAAACTATAAAAAAATAAAAATAAAAATGCTTATAAATATTTTTTTAACACAAAAATAAAAAATCGGTTTTTTAGCTTCCATAGAAAATGTGTTAAACTATAAAACAAAACAAAAGTTATTGAAATCGGTTCGGTAGACACTTCAGAAAATGACTTCGCGTTTTAGTCTTTATTTGTAAAAAAAATTGACGCTTTTTGTCCCCCTTAACAAATCCGAAATCCAAAAAAAAATTATCTTTTCGGTTTATATTCTATAATAATATTGTAAAAATATTTTAAAACAATATTTAGGTAGGAAATCAAGTAACCATACTTAAAAATTGCCTTGTACTTTTAAATCAAGTGTAGTAGAGTGAGACATAGTTGGGAGAAAGTATAGTGGGGACAGGAAAGGTCACAGGTGTACAAAAATTGTTATAACTGAAAGTGAATTGCTTTGCGCCCTATATTACATGTTTTCAGTATGTGTTAAATGTATTTTAAATATATTTTTGCGCGTATTTAGATGATTTTCATATACTATTTACATTACAGTGTACCTACATTTTATATATAATTAATTAAAAATAAATAAAAAGTATAATAAGAAAAAAATCATTTTGAATCACTCGAAAATTAACTTAATTATATTTTTTAAAATCTATATAATTGTTGAGCCAACTTATTATCCAATAAAATCTATTGTATAAAAAAAAAATACATTTTAAAACCTATTACTATGTAGTTTTTTTACACACACACACCATACAGACTCCAGTCAAGACAGAGTCGCGGATTCGGCCGAGCAATTGATATTAGAATTCTCATGTATTACTGTGCGTAATTTTGGGTAAAGCGTTTGAATTCTGTAACCAAAACCCGGCACCTTCAACGTTATAATGAAGTCGTTGGATCACGACGGACAGTGGCAGACTTTTATAATTTTTTTTTTTTTTTTGGGGGGGGGGGTCCTGAAAAATAATATGTATGTCAAAGGCATTATTTTTATTAAAAAAGTGTATTATATTGATGTAATTTAAGTTAATATATAACATTATATATTCACCCCCCCCCCCCCCCTTGTAAATCCGCCACTGAGGACAGAAATCGCAATTTTGTACAGACCGTAACACAAATCAATTCTTTTTTTTAGTTCTTCTTGACCTAAGATTGACCTAATTTGACCTAAGATTTTTAAGAAAATCAAATATTTTTTTTAACCTATACTAGATCTACTTTCAGTCTAATTATTTAGACATTAAGTCCTAAATCGGTTAGGTCTGGTTAGGTTTATCCAGTATGCCTAAAAAGAAAAATAAGGAAAAAAGTTATATCGTTTCTAGGGAATAGGCTTTGCGATATTTTTGGTTGTTTAACGTTTATCAATAGTACGTCATCGGAAGAATATTCAATACAAATATGAAACTCATTCGACTAATTAACAAAAAGTTATAGCAAGCCATTATTTAAAAAATAATGTTAAAAAAAATATGTAAAATTCTTGGGTGTTTTTATCGATTTTAAAGAAGAAGTGGTGAACGTTTTAAATGTTTGGCCCAATAAATACCTTTCAGGTATGATTTTGATTTCTTAGAGGTGCTTCATGAATAAATTGGTTCAGCTTTTTAGATGATATGTGGGTCCACACATTATTGTAAAAACAATACTTTGTCAGCTACGCATCGAAGCTAAAAATACATTTTTATAACCAACTTTACTTGTTGTGTATAATACAATGGCTATTTAGATAGCTATTTTAAAAAGTAGGCTTAACTGTAACTGTTGGCTGTTCGATGACACGTTTTAGCTAAATACTTTTGGAGTTATTAACTTTTAAAATTGAAGGCAAATCGTTTTTACTATAAACAATACAGTGTATACTAGAAGACGTGATGGGGACCAGTATAACTGAGAGAGAAAATTGGCAACGGTAGTTTTTTTTTTTGCAAATGAATTCCTTCGCCGAAAAATGTATGAAAAAGATATACGTTAACATACAAATTCTCATTTATTGCGTCTGATTTCAGTTAGAGCAATGGATCGACCAAGAAGAGAAAAGTACGATTCTAGATCTCCTCGACCAAACCCAATTGGAATGCATTCTTCAACGGACCCCATTGCGGCTCTCGAACGGCGATTAGAATTTTTGGAACATCGAGTAGACGTCTTGTCTAGAGCTAAGCAGGCGACGCCCGCACGAAGACCCCAAACGTTGGAAGGTCTCTGCTGTTTGACAACAGAGACTGTCGTGGGAGCCGCTCCACAATCGCAGCCACGCACACAACCATGGATGAAATATGGGACTAAGACATCGAGTGGAATGGCCGTCAACAGCTCTTACAAACCTCCGGTGCCACCTCGGCACACTTCATCAGCCTCACAAACCATTCTACCACCTGTTACGGCTGCTAGTGGCGAACCGATAAAATCGGTAAAAATACCCTTCTTTAGACGTAAATCCGTATAAAGCAGAAGGTAATCTTTAGTTTTGTTTAATCTTTAATGCTAAATGTTAAAAATAAAAATTATCTTCAGTATCTTATGTTATTATCAATAGCCAAAAGATATGTATAATGATAAATATTTTTATTGTGCTTAGTATTATACACTATGTTGTCATTATGAACGTGTAATAATACTAAAATATATCTGATATACTTACTGTCAACATGTTATTTGTTCTTCTTACTTTCTTGTACTTAATTAATTTACTTTTAAAACATGGATTAGATTTTCAATAATGTCTTATGTGAATGATAGCAACCATTAGCGAGCTAAGAATACAAATGTTCTATATTCAACATTTACTAAAAAAATATTTTTTTTTTACTAAATTTTAATCATTTTTATTTGCCCGTCTTTAGATCCATCAACGGTTTCTCTACCTACATTCTCTATAAACATATACAAAATGAAAATGTTCTAGGTCCGTAAAAATTAGATACTGTGAATTTTTTTTAATTTGGAAAAACTTTTTCAAACGCAATTACAGGATTTTAACCAAGAGGTATTTTTCATTCTCAGCCTGCGAATTGGGTATTATAGACATATGTGAAAATAAGGGTTTTCGATTTTAGTTTCATACTAGTTTGTAGTATCATTCTTATATATTTACCATGAATTTTAATCAAAATCTATCTTCTTAAAAATAAAACTGTTATTTAAATTCAACGCGTAGCTTTTGTTTCTTATATTATGTTTAGAACCACTGTCAAATCATTGGCAAATAACTTCCTTAAAACTAAAGGATAATGGGTCAGCAATGAGTAAATGTACCTAAGGTAAGGTCTACTAATAACAGAAAAAATCACGGAATCAAATTTTAAAAAACGTTGAAACATTTACAATTTTTAAGCTAGAGAACACGATTTTTTATAACAGTTTTTTGAATTCAAACAACTACACTCGAGTAAATCGGTCCACACGCAAAAATGTTATCGTGACTTCAGGCCCAAAAAAATAAACACATTGGCAAAACTAATACCTTCTCAGCTGTCGCATCGAATCTAAAAGGAAAAATCACTCTCGCGCCATATTTTAATTTCAGGTTGCTATGTGTGAATGTATCAACAGCCAACAGGTATTTGACAAATATGTTTATTGTTGTTGGTAAGCTGTGGTAGTCATTAAAGAAGAACGAAAAATTGTTCTTATATTTTTTTGTTCCACTTGTCTTCTGGAGTAAAAAAAATTTTCCTAATTTTTTCAAATTTTTCAAATTATTTTTAGCGGATACGAGCATCAGTTTTTCAAAAATGTTTGGTTTTTTAGTATTAGTTTTCTTTACGTATAAATTAAAATTAAATTTTTATATTTAAACAGATGGTATTGTATAAAATAGTATTACTATTTTTTATTTTTAACTAATTAAAGTAAATAATTAGAACTAGCTTAGGCCTTAGAAAGTATAACTATGAAAATATTTATAAACTAACCCTTAATATTATCCTAAAATATTTGTTTTATGGGTTTAAAAAAGAATAAATATATTTACAGGGTGTAATGTAAAGTTCTACCGAGCTTCAAATGAGACATTCGGGATGCTTTATGGGTATAATAAATGGTATTAATTTTTTTTTAATTTTAAAATTATTTAAATTATAACTCGTATCTCATTAAAAAATGGTCTAACGAAAAAAATAATTTCAGATTTGGAGAAATCTGGAGAAAAAATCTTGTTAAATTGATATGTAACAAGGTTTTTATCGTATCTGGCCACATATGCGTCCACAGGGTGACCACCGAGTGGCCATTGAGTGACCGGCATGTGACTAAAATCAACATATGGCACGTGACATATCATTTTGGGTTAGAATTTTATTCTCAATTCAGTGGTGTCCTTAGTAATATTTTACATGAAACGATGTTTCGCATGCTATATGTTGATTTTAGTCACATACCGGTCACTCAGTGGCCACTCTGTGGTCACCCTGTGGACGTATATGTGGCCAGATACCAAAAAAAATGTTACATATCAATTCAACAAGATTTTTTCTCTTGATTTCAAATCTGAATTAATTTTTTTGCTAGATAATTTTTTAATGACATAATGGTTCTATTTTAAATTTTAAAAAAATGAACACTTTTTTATTGTACCCATAACACTTATTGTATCCATGAATGTCTCATTTGAAGCTCGGTAGAACTTTACATTACACCCTGTGTATATTTGTTGGGTGTCTTTAGGGTAGTTTATTAAGGGTTAATTTGACGTTTACATATACGTTACATTCTATGGTCTAATTTAGTTTAAAAGTTGTATTTTTATATAAATAAAAAATACTAGTTTATTCCTCTTATTCTACTGATGACTTTTTATGCAAACAACATATTGTGCTTAAAATTAATATTTAATATTTTTGAAAAACTAGTGATCGCATCATCTAAAAATCTAAAAGAAATAGCGAAATATTGTTTTACCCCAAAAACATAATATTATAAGAGGAACAGAAAACAATTAAAAATAATAATTTTGTCTATCCTAATTACCATATTGCCTAAATATTACCATATTTAGTTGTAATTTTCTCATGAATTAACGATGTCAGGCTGGGAGTGAAGCAAAGCGAAAGCGTTTCCCTTTCAGTATGGGCGATACCGAGATTAAAAATTACCATATTGCTTATTGGTAATAAAGGTGACAAACTACTAGAAAAAAACAGAAGATTAGCCCCTATCATATCTACCCTAATACTTAAAGTACATTTCTGTGGCTTTGGTCTAACAGGCAGAGACAAATGAGCTTTAAAGTTTTTATTTTCTTTTAGCGCTATGGATTTTTTTCTATAAACTCTTCATAAGTAATTCATTTTTTGGCCTCAAAGAGTATCATCTTCAACACAGTATATAAAGGATAATTATTGCATTTAGCAGACTAACTCGTACATGCCCAAAATTGACACAGGCACTTTTAGACCCAAGCCACAAATGTATAATTGCAAGTGCTAAAATGAAAATACAGGCATGCAGCTATAACAGAATACACCAAGTTCTTTATAAACAATGTAACGACTTGAATCAATAACATTTTTTAGCGCTTTCAAATACTATATTATAAATCAGTATAGGTTGAAAAAACAATTAAGTTGTTATGGAACTTATATGCATTTCTACCTTAATGTCTTTTGGATAAACATTAAATTTATTTAGTATATTTATATATGTGTGCAATGGTTTTTATAGAACTAATAATTGAATCGCTTTATGCATAAAAAGTCTTAGTCCATAACATGAAACTTTTGTTATTTTTGAAAAAGTATTAAATTTTAAGACCTCTATTAAAGTCAATAGCGATTGGATAAATTAAATTCTATAAGATAATTTTTTTTTTCAAAAACGCAGTCTTGATAGTTTGTATTATACACATTAACAAATGAAATAACTTTTGTTTTAATGAATATTTTTAAGACTTTTTTTTTTATAATTTGTACTCATTTGCGCTGTAAGCACCAATAAGTTACTAAAGGTTAAAGGGTAGGATGGGAGATGGAGTGCGGTAGAGAAATGCGTGCAGATAAAAATAGCTCTAAGCGCTTACTCTACCGCACTCCACCTCCCATCCTACCCTTTAACCTTTAGTAACTTAAAAATTAATTATCCAAATCTTTTAACAAAATGGCTATATTGAAATTTAAAAAAAAATGTAACAAAAAAATTTTTAAAAAAATTAAAAAAAGTAAAATAGTTAAGTGCAATAAAAAATGTAGAGCTATATTATAGCGCAAATGAGTATAAATTGTTAAAAAAAAAAATCTGAAAAATATTCACTAGAAGAAAAGTTATTTTATTTGTCAAATCATTGTGGGCCATCCTGTATAATATAGTATTATTATACTGTGGCCCTTATTATAAAAATTTATAATTATATGTAATTAATACACTTAAAATTTATTTTAATTAATCATCTTAAAAACAAAAAGTCTGTGTCATAAAACCAGTTTTATTAGCTTTCTAAACAACGAAATATATACATTAATATTAAAAATAAATTAAAATTAAAAATATAGGTATTTGTATAAAATATAACAACAACTAACTTGTATTTTTGATAATATGATTAATCATTATTTTTGTAAATAGTTATCATAACATTAGAAACATTAATATGAGAGTAACAGCCAACAGTCATATTGATAATATTATTTTCGCTGAAATGTGAACTAACGCCTAACATCCCTTTTCAACAAACCTTACCTGTATACTTACACCGTGAGATGGTTTCTTGACGAATTCGCTATCCGAGACTGGTCGTCAGTCCGTCGCCGTGTTGTTAGCTAGGTTTAGCTGTCATGCGTTTAAGTGTAAAACCAGAAATCGAAAATAAATAGATCTTTAAAAATTTGGAACTAGGTACCCACAATTGCTGGAATTACAATCTGATGCGAGGACGACGTCTATAGTCATATTTCAAAGGCATGATTCGACCCCATGATGGTTCGCACTGCGATACGGAAGGCAAGGGGAAACCACCGTATAAATCATCCCAAGAAATAGCAAAAGCTACAAACAAATCTCAGGATTGAATACTAAAGAAGAAGATTCGACCCTGAGACACAAATAAACATTAAAATTTTTCATTAATTTACCAGCAAATTTACCCTGAACCATACAACTAATAATTTTTAAATAAAAACTAAAATGTAGTATTTTATGGTTCTTGTTAATTTACAAAGTCCAAATTCATTGAGTTAAGTATTATGAAATGTATGTGTCGCACACTAATATTAAACCAAATTTAAATTACAAAAAAACGTACAATATAAAATATTATCTGATAAATTTATGAGGAACTTTGTTGAATAGGGCCCACGCTTTTCTCTTATGTCAAAAATTAAAGATGTTTAACATTATTTAAAATTGTAGTTAGTTTTCGGTTGTTTTCAAAGTAATTGACATTTTAAATTAAATGTGCTACAATTGATTGGTAAATTGTTCTTGTAATACAATTATTTTTTACTTTTTACTATTTATTAGAAAAGCAGTTAAGAACTGATTAGT